ATAATGTGTAAGTTAAATAGACTAAGAAATTTAGTTTGATGAGTTTTTTTTTTTGTGTGTGTTTTTGCTTTAGATAATTTTTATTTATTTAAATTATATTTAAATTTTTTTTCTTTTTTAATGTTTTTTTAGATTTATATAAGTTTAAAGTATGTGCAACTGCACGTCTTCCTGACATTTACATATTCATGCATCATTTCTTTTAATTCTATTTTGTCAAAGCTTTGACAAAATAGAATTAAAAGAATTGTTACCTAGGTAACAATTCTTTACAGTTATTGGGGTTAGGCAAAAACCTAATAATATTCTTGAACTTTACTTGTACATATCTTTTTTTTAAGATTAACCATGAAATTTGAGATTTTTTGCATTATTTATTTTAAATCTACCTATTTCCAATCATAAATATAACTTGCTATTGACTATTTTCTACTTAAATACTATTTATATGGCTTCACTTATATATTTTACTTTATAGAGTTTCAGAGAAAATTTATGTTCCAATTTGTTGAAATAAAAAATATGTTAGTAGATAGAGCTGCACAGTTCTTTAACAATCCAGAAGAAAGTTTTAAAAAACGTTAAAGCTCAGATGAATTTAATGTTTTGAAAATAAAAAAATTGCAAACTGAGATTTCCAATGCATTACTTTTGTATGCATGAATTTATTCTTTACAGTTTTGGTATCTTTCATAAATCACGCAACCTTAAATTTCACTAATAAACAAATCAAAAAAGGTTAGTCCTTAAAGTTTTTCCTCCCACAGCCTTAAGTCATAAAATATTTTTCCTTAAAAGGAAAAAAAATCTTATATGCAATGCTAACTTTCTTACTAAGTACGCAATGATAACTTTATTTTAAATAAAATTTTCAAAAATAAAGTTAGCGTTGCGTAATCTATAGACAATCCCTTACATGTTATACACTACAATATTTTTTTTTAATTGTTATGAAAATTTCCAATGTTTATTGCATTTGTAATTATTTGGCGGTAAAAATTAAGGTGATACAATCAAAAATGTTTTGCTAATTATAATAAACAATAAAATTTTTCTAAATTCAAAAAAAATTGCAATTTCAACTTTTATGTTTGAGACTACGGCATTTATCATCTTTTTTATATGTGTACACTGCCAACAGACACTTTTTTGTCAGAATACAGCATGAATGTTCTAAAGAAGAAAAAAATGTTTAAAGAGTTGACAAGCCTATGTAACGTTATCACCTATGTAACGTTGAAACTAGTATTCTTTTTAACTTATTAACTTGTTTGATTTATTTTTAAAATTAAAAATGATGTTTTATTAAAAAATAAAAATTATTTTTTTAAATTTTTTTCGGTTATGGAACATGACATGTATTCAAGGATATTTTATTTTATAATCTTATTGAAATGTGTTGTTGTTTTTATTAGAAGCTGCTTTAAAGTCATATAAAAACTTTACCAAAATGGATGCCATCCAACTTATTGGGAAAGTAATAAGGTATTCTTTTGACCGATTAAAAAGGCCATCCACTAATATGGATATTAATAAATAATGGCCTAATCAGCTGCTGTATTTTTTATTAACTTTGCATTTTTCAGCAATTTTTTGTATTTATAATACACTATTGATTAAACTATACTCTACAGAACATATTAATTAGTAAATTTGGAAAGTGTAATTTTGTTTGAAAAATTATTCTTTTTTTTTGTAAAAATATTAGCTTATTTTAAATATATCAAGTTACACTTTATTTACTTTGATTTCTTTTTATAACTTCGTTTGATTAAATCAAAATTTAGGTTTGTGCTGTAAACTATTGTTTATATAACTTTTAAAAGAATGTCCTAATAAAATTGGACCGTCTCTAAGAGATCTAAGTAAGACGTTCTTTTGTCTTTTATTTAAGACCAGCCAAAGACGTCTGCGAAAAACGTCTCTAGGACGTCTTGAAAAGACGTTTTTAGCACGTATGGAATACACGTCCTCTAGCCCTTCATTTAAAACCAACTAAGAACGTTTTACGGACAAGACTTTATACGTTTTATGGTCGTCCTTAGAACGTCAGCATGCCCGCTGTGAAGTACTATAAACTTAAACGTTAATTATATAATAAAATGATCTAACATGAACTATTATTAAATTTCTGTAATTTAACACCTAGACTATAGATTTTTAAACCGAAAAAAAGATGTATTAAAATGTATAAAAATGATAATTATCTGAGTTTTGTTTTATGATCTTATCGTCTACATTTTAATCCATTTCTAATCTTTATATTCATAACTTTCTTTTTCACATTAAGTGTTTCTTTTTAACATTTTTTTTTGTTTTTTTTTCTAACCATTTTCTGAAAAAATTTTCATTAGTTTGTTTTCTTTACTTTTGCTTTTTTTTTTTTTTTTGCTCTTATGGGTTTTGAATTTACTTCTTTATGGCTTTTGTATTTCCTTTTATTTTTTTATGACTATCTTTATGGCTTTTAAAATAATGTTTATGAATTTGTTTTTGTCACAACTGAAGATAAATATTTTGATTTGCGCATGGACATTAGAAATGGTTGTATTGGAAATATTAAAATATTTTTGTTTCATTTTATAACTTATGTTGCTGTTTTTAAACTGAAACCAGCTGGCTCTGATTTTACACCACTGCAATAATACTGCTTAATATAATTAAGGATGCATTCAAGTGTAAATTCAAATATGTATTTAATGATGTGTTCAAGGAATACAAGGATTCATTCTTTTTAAAAAATAATATTGTCCAAAGTAAAAATAATAATACTGCTGGATGTATTCAAGATCACCTTTCCGGTCTTATAATTATCAACTTCTTAGAATTGTTCTGAATTATTTAAATGAACGCAAAATTCAATTATAGTTATGTGAAATAAAATTTAAAAAGTAAAACCTGAATGGTTTTATAATTTTTGGAGTCTCAACTGTATTTTACTCAGACAGCTTTAGAATGGTTCAAAGATACCTATTAAATCATTTTTTTGTAGCCAACACAATTAGGATCAAATAGAAAAATTAGTACTTTTATGCCTCTATTACAATTTTCTTGTACATTTCTAGCCCTTGTAATTAAAGTTCCAGAGTTGCTACAAAATTTAAGTGGATGCGAAACATTTGTTGCGTTTTTGGGTTAAAAAATAAAATATTTTTAACTTTTAGAGCAAAATAAAGTTCGACTAAAAATTATAAATTATAATTGTAATTAAAAACAATGTCATAATAGAAATAAATTACAATAAAATCTTATAGAAAATGAATGAATTTGAAAATTTTTATCATATGCCGCTACGAAACAGCAAGTATGTTTGGTAAAAAAATTACTTCTTGCATCAAATTAATATGTACTAATTAAAACTTAGTTTTTAATATAAAGCATTTATTTTAATTAAAAGTGTTTTAAATACTTTACTATATGCATTATACAAGTTGTTAAATTCTAAATAATGCCAGCAAACAACCATCAATCAATGTTTGTATTAAATTCTCTGCAACTTTTAGTAATACACAATCAGCCACACTTTTTACGTCAAAAATTTATTTTATTGCTCAGCACTTATAGGTTCAGATCATTTTTTGATAACAGCATTTTTAAAATAAAAACAATATTTCTGTTTTGTAAACAATGACTTTAATACCGGCGGACTAAACTCGAAGCAAGAAGCCTTATCATAAGACACAACAAAAACATTTTTAATTACCTGTGGGGTAGAACAATATTTCGCTGCAATCCATCATTTGAGAAAAATGAACTGTACTTAAGTTTGTTAAAAATATAGAAAAAAGGTCTTAAAAGAAAATAGTATTGAAAACTTAAAAATAACAACTAAAAACATACCTGTAATACCATTGACGACAAAAAAATCCTTTATTAAACCATTTTGAACATCATACCAAGGATCTGCTGCATATACTTTTACATTATCAAAACTTTGTACTTGGTTATTAATTTCAGAAAAGACGATTTCTTTATTTATTTTGATTGTGTATACATAAACTGAGTTTCTTAAAATTTGACTAACTTCAATGTTAGACCACTGATTTAATCCGATTGGATTTGTGTTAAAAAATCTGTTCAAGTTACCATTAATTGGAGCTGAAACGTGAAGACCACCTTTTCCATCAGCATTAAACCAAATGCCAGGAACACGATCACCGTAATGAGCCGAATCAGAACCAATAGAAAAGTGAATAACACTATGCCAACCAGCAACAAACTCTCTTGGATAGACATCAAATGAAACCAAAAACTCTTTAAAAAGCTTTGGTATCTCTGCAATTATTTTTCCTTTTACTAATTCAAAAGGAGAACTGCCAACGAAAGTATCTAGAAAGGAAAAATAGTCAAAATGCATTTTACTTTAAGCTTCATTTAAATAAAATTCAACTTAAATTATCCAGATAAATTTGTTTTCAATGTTTCATATTATTATTCAACTTTAAACATATGCTTTATTGTAATAGTAACGAATTAACTAATTAAAATGTCAAAAAAAAAAAAAATCATATTACCAGCATTTCCATTAAAAATGAGAATATTTGAGATTATAAAATTGTTGGCCAAATATCTAGGATCAGAAGCATATGCCATAATGTTATTAAATTCTCTAGCATTAGAGTTTTCATTATCATAAATGTTGACTCCATTCAGATAAACAGAAAACCAATACATATTTTTACGCATACTTTGACATATTTTAACATTAGACCATTGATTTAAAGGAAGTTTAGGTGTTAAAATAAAGTAGGCACCTCGATTAGTAAATGCAGAGTTAATTGCAAGTTTTTCTGAGTCATCGAGAAACCAAACCTCTAAAATTCTGTAACGATCGATTCCCGAAATTTCTGTCTCACTTAAATAAAAAACTTCTTTAATGCTTTCATTGTATATTTTAGGAAAAACATCGAAAGAGACAGTAAACTCCTTTTTCAAAACATAGAGTGATCCAAAAAAAGTGCTGACATTTAAGTGTAACTGGTTTCTTTGGATAATATTTTCTAAATAAAAAATAATAAAAAACTTTGCTAAAATTGTTTTGTATACCTGTTTTGCAATAGATTTTTATTTGCGACTAAGAACTAATAAATGTAAACTTTTGAGGACTATGTTACATTATATAAAGGATTATATTAAGAATTGAACACAACAAAATTGAAGGCGTGCGGACCGCCGTATTTATTAAAAGTAATCATAATAACACAATGCATAAATGTATTTCGCCGATAACGAATATTATATCGTTCTGTAACTTTTTTGTCTTTGTGAAGATGTATATCTATCTATCTATCTATATATATATATATATATATATATATATATATATATATATAATTTCAGTATTGGACAAAACATTTGCAACCAACATCGAACAAGGCTAAAAAGTGTTCCAAATTTTACATGTTTTAAAAACAAAACGAACTATACTACCACAGCAAACAGTTCAGGAGTCTGGAGTCATAGCATGCCATGATATGAGCTATCAGCTGACAGGTGACAGGACACAGGCATTTCGTTGACAAGTGCCATTTTGCAGTGGACAAAACAAGTGCAACTTTTTTGGTTTGTTTCAATTTCTTAAGTCTGGTCCGTGTCAACGTCACGGAAGTTTTTTAATAAATAAAGAAAGTATCCAGAAGTTTCCAAAAGTTTCCAGAAGCATGCAGAAGCTTCCAGAAAAATCTAGAAATATTTAGAAGCATCCAGACGCATCCAAAAACATCAAAAAGAAGCATCTAGAATCTTCCAGAACAGGTTCACATAGATTCCTTTGATTATATAAAAGACATGTAAACCGACATGTAATTCAGTCAGTATATGTAATTCAATCACTCAGTATTATAAAGACAGTTTATCGAAGTGAGTTTTAATAAAGTGTTTTATAAACGAACATCAATAAAAGAATTAAAAAACAACAAGTGTTTCATTACATCAATACAGTCCACATCCAACCAAGAAGTTGTGTTCCATAGAGCATTATTGTATCATCACAAGGAAAATGTAACGCGGTAAGCCTTAAAAAGCGTGATTATTTATTTTTATTATTTTTATGAATTCAAGTGGATAAATAGTTTTCTACAGTCTTAGATACGAACTAAGGAAGGAAATTTTTTGGCAATTACGTAAGTGGAATGTCCCAATAAAGTATTTGTGATGATTATTGCGTGAAAAAATTGACCGCATCAAGACTATGTTCCAAATATCGTTCTACGGGGAAGTTGACAGCAGATAACAAAGGTGTTAGACCACGTTTCACCACTTCTAGAGTAGATTATATGATTGTTAGATCCGTCAAGAAGGATCCCTGGATATCATCGTTCGAGAAACAAAAGTAATTAGAGCTGCCTGTATCGGACCGAACAATCAGACGACGTGCTGTTGAAGTCGGATTGTTTTCTCGACGCCCTGCAAAAAAACCGCTGATTTCACTAAAAAACCAGAAGAAAAGTCTCTTGTTTGCAACATCTCATATTGACTAAAATATGCAGAAATGGCGAATTGCCCTCTTCAGTGATGAATCATTGTTCAACATCATTGGAAGCGATGGCATTTGCTGGGTACTTCGACCGGCTGGAAAACGTTTTGATTTACGTTACTGCCACAAGACCTTGAAGCATGGTGGAGGCAATGTAAATGAGTGGGGGTGTTTTTCTGCTAGCAGTTTAGGTGATATACATCGAATGGATGGAATAATGGACCGTTTCTTGCATAAAAACATCCTGAAAGATGTTATGTTACCTCATGCTTAATGGAATATGCCAATAAAGTGTTTTTTTTTAGTAAGAGAACGATCTGAAATACACTGCAAAAGAAGTCAAGCAGTGGTTTCAAGAGAACCACCTATTGGTGATGGATCGGCCGCCTCAATCTCCGGATCTCAATCTCCGGATTCCTATTCGAGAAACCTGTGGGAGATCGTTAACCGCAGAGTTATTCGTGAAGGAATTCGTAATAAGGATCAACTCTTTGAATAAATCCAAAAGGCCTGGGCAGTGATTCCACAAAGTGCCATTGATCTCCTGATCAAAACTATGCCTCCGAGATGCAAAGCTGTGATCGACAACAAAGGATTTTCCTAGAAATATTGATTGCAACATACAACTTGGTCAACACTTTGTGGAGTTGCACTTGTTTTGTCCAGAAGGAAATCAACCTTTTTTAATATTCTTAATTAATTTAATCATTTTCGTATACAAAAAATCAACTTGAATTAAACTGATGAATAAAACTTGGAAACTTTGTCTCTTAACAGTTACAAAGTTATTTCTCTAAATTAAAAAAATTTAGCACTTTTATATAAAGAAACAAAATTAGCATTATATGGTTGCACTTGTTTTGTCCTATACTGTATATATATATATATATATATATATATATATATATATATATATATATATATATATATATATATATATATATATATATACAATAAAGTATGTATATATATATATACATACTTTATATATATATATATATATATATATATATATATATATACGTACTTTATATATATATATATATATATATATATATATATATATATATATATATATATATATATATATATATATATAAAGTACGTATATATATATATATATATATATATATATATATATATATATATATATATATATATATATATACGTACTTTATATATATATATATATATATATATATATATATATATATATATATATATATATATATATATATATATATATATATATATATATAAAGTACGTATATATATATATATATATATATATATATATATATATATATATAAAGTATGTATATATATATACATACTTTTATTGTATATATATATATATTATTTATCAAAAAATGATATGAACCTATTTATATGTCAATAGTTAATTAAGGTCTTTGTATATATATATATATATATATATATATATATATATATATATATATATATATATATCTATATATATATATATATATATATATATATATATATATATATATATACATATATATATATATATATACAATAAAGTATGTATATACATATACATATATATATATATATATATATATATATATATATATATATATATATATATATATATATATATATATATATATATATATATATATATATATATATATATATATATATATATATATATATATATATATATATATATATATATATATATATATATACATACTTAAAGTATATATATATATATATACACATATATATAATATATATATATATATATATATATATATATATATATATATATATATATATATATATATATATATAAAGTATGTATATATATATACATACTTTATTGTATATATATATATATATATATATATATATGTATATGTATATACATACTTTATTGTATATATATATATATATATGTATATATATATATATATATATATATATATATATATATATATATATATATATATATATATATATATATATATATACAAAGACCTTAATTAACTATTGACATATAAATAGGTTCATATCATTTTTTGATAACATGTTTGGTTTGGTTAGGCCAGGCATCAAGGTCTGGTTTAGGGTTAGGGTTACGCAAGATTTAAATTTGATTATATTACTGTAATTAATTGTTTTTGTAAAAAGATAAAGTTTTAAAATGTAATATAAAATGTATAAATAAAAATAACAAAAATTAATATAAAAATTGTATTTTTATAAAAAAATAATAAATTTAAATATGTATAAATAAAAATAGAAACAAAAATTATATAAACATTATATTTAAAAATTAAAAAAAAAAAAAAACAACAACAGCAGAACAGCAACAAAAATAACATGTTCCCGAATGTTACTAACTAGGATGCTACATACAAAGTTCACAAATAAAATTATATTAATTTTTCTTTCTTTCTTTGTATTACAAGTAATTTATATCGTTAATTTTTGTAATATCCGTATTCATAAAACATATGTGCTTCGATTTTTTATGATTACTTGTTTTAAATATGGCGGTCTGCGTGCCGTAAACTTTGTTGTATTCAAATAATAATGTAAAATAATCGTCTGATTAATACATGGTACCAAAAATATACTTATATTTAAAAAAAAATCGAACAACTTAGATTTTTAGATGCTATGAACTTATTTGGCAATCTTTTAGAAAAAACAGACAAAAATTAAAGCAGAGATTGAATCTTATAAATTGGTTAAGGAGTCAATGACAAGAATGAAGATATTCAATACGTTATTTTCCGTTATACGATTGGCAAAGACGCTTTAAAAGTACACGTTCATTTTTGCAATTGAAGAACAAATTAATACCTTAAGAACAAAAGTTTGATGTTATTTCAGCTCGAAAAAAACCATAATTTGTTAACTTTATTTAGTATATGTATTAAAGACAACAGACTATTTACTGACTTCTTGATTGATTTGCAAAATAAAGTTAAAAAATGTGAGTTTAAAAATCTCAAAAAAAGCCTAAAATGTTACAAAGAAGTTCGCTGTATCGCCTCTAAAGCGTTTCTAAGTATGTATGCATCGTCTCTAACACTATGTTGTATCGTCTCTAACACTATGTTGTATCGTCTCTAACACTATGTCGTATCGTCTCTAAAGTGTCTCGAAGTAGACGTTCTTTAGAGACGATAAGTAACAGCTTCAAAAAAAAGACTACTTCGAGAGGCTGAGCTCATTCTTGAAAAAACTTTCAGTTTTATGAGAACATATAAAAAATCGAAAACTCAATTAAAAGCCATTAATAATACAACTCAGGAAGATTCTATAAACAAATTCTATAAAGGTAATAGTACTAAAATCAACTCACTAAAGATTAAAAAACCTTTACAAAAATATTGCTACTGCTATGGATCACAACATACTATCTTCTTTTGGCCAGCATATGGCATAAAGTGCACAGCATGTTGAAAGCAAACCATTTTGCTAAAGTATGCAGATCCAAAATTAATCGCTTTAATACTATTTCTGTAGACCAAGATGATCAAAAGG